ATAGATTTCCCTAATAAACTTTTATCAGTAGACCTGTGTTTATAATTAGGAGAGCGCCCTAGCATGTAGGGTACAAAACACCTACTTTATGCACTCGGGCTCTTCCCCTTGACTCCCCTCTCCCTTGCCTCCTTCTTCTTCTACCGCCCCCAGCTATCTTCCCTGTCGCCTTTCCTCAGTCTCCCATACCCTCTCCCTGGCAGCAAGCTATATTATGAAGTTTGCCTCAGACGGCACTGCACGCCTAACACGGTGCGCGCGCATGCGCAATATCTCCCGAGAGAAATCGTATTTTGCAAAGATTATGCATTTAAAATGAAGAGGAGTTATCCTAGGATAGATTTATATGATAACATTCCATCAGTTGACATCATTTAAGAAATCGGAGGAAGAACTTGCATGTACGTTAGTGTGTTAGCGCATGCGCAATATCTCGCCAGAGCAGTTATATTTTGCGATAAATATGCATTTAATATGGTTAGGGGATATCTCAGCATAGATTTCTAGAATCAATTGTTATCAGTAGTCTTGTGTTTATAATTAGCAGAGTGCCCTAGCCTGTGGGGTGCAAAATTCCTATTTCCTCCCCTCCCGTCTCTCCCTTTTCTTCCCTTGTCCCTCGCTCAGCCTCCTTTTTCTTCTACCTCCCTCAGCCTTCTTTCGTGCAACTTTTCACCAGTCACCCAACCCTTTAACCCTCAGCAAGCTATATTATGAATGTAGCTTCAATCCGTACTGCACGCCTGAAAGGGTGCTCGCGCATGCGCAATATCTCCCGAGAAGCATAATATTTTGCAAAAATTATGCATTTAAAGTATGAGAGAGTGGTATGCTTAGAGAAGGTGCGCATCGAAAAATGCACCCTCGCTACTTCAATGTGGTGGCACTGCTCTGTCGAAGATCCCTTGCTATACTAATGTACAGGGATAGGGCGCGGACATGTCGGCGACCTGCCGCCCAAAGACTTAGGGCCGGCGTTAAGCATTTAATTTAGATGGTGGCATGCCTAGAGAAGGTGCGCATCGAAAAATGCACTTTCGATACTTGCCGATATAATGCCGAAGGTCCTACGGTATGCTGCGACTGATATGAATTTTTGAGATCGGATCTTAGGCGTCCACAATGGGCAGGGGCATGGCCGCGAGATATGTACATGGTAACATTCGGTCTAAATTTTCATCTTGCATCCCGCCACAATAATCCTATATGCTAATGTATATGAAATGATGGAC